ATATTTCATTTCAATATCATTTCAGATAGTTTAAGGTGTTATTAAGACTTACAAGCGGTTTGGGTTTTGGTAAATTGTTTTGCATAAATATTTTAAATATTAATTAATCTATTTAATTCCAGATATTTGCAACATTTATTACCAGTGAGTCTACCTTTTTCCAAGTTTAAATATAAACATATAAAAAGTGTGTCGTTTTATAAAAAAAACTGTGTTGTATTGATGTGTTTTAGTTCGTGTTGTTATTGTTTTTAATGCACGTTTATGTAGGTGGAAATTTAGTGTAAGTTTCCATCCTTACAATGTTGAGACCCTTTTTACCAGCTCTTCTAAATTATTATCCGTCGCTACTTCCAGAGAGACAAGGTTTATCTTGGTACACTTCATTTCAGCGGTTACATCTTCTTCTGAATATGCGAAGACATTATCATCGTTATTATATAAAGACTTACCAGTAGTTACGTTCGCTAGCCAGGGATGCCCCTTTCACCGTAGTTCAAAGTGTAATAATTTGTGAGCATTCATGCCCAAGACGCGCAATCAGCTGGATTTTCTTTAGACTTAACATGTCCCCAGCTACTTCGGTGATGAGTATCTAATATTTCTGCTGTGCGATTCGCGACAAACGTTTTTAATTTGATTGGTGGTTGCGATAGCCACGCTAACTACGTCCTCGCATGGCTTCCAATAGATACCCAAAACCTTCGTCATATCATCTAGCTCATCCTTCAAAAAACAGTGATCAGACTGATCATAAAAATAAGAGGTTATGGAACTACAATTAGAGACCCATTTTAGAAGTTAAAATCCTGCTGCCGCACAAAGTTGAATTAGCTCGTCACGTTTTCCTTCTAGTTCACTCACGGACTGCGAACCAGTAATGTCATAGTCAACGTAAAAATCCTCAAGAATGATTTTCGCATCGAGAGAGTATCTGCTTTGGTGATCCTTTGCAAGCTCTTCGAGGACCCTCACAGAGAGAAATGGTGCGCATGATGTATCATAAGTAACCGAACATAATTGGAAATGTTTTAGGTTTTTTGATGGATCTTCCCTCCAAATAATTCGTTGATAATTTCGATGATTTTCTGTTACCCAAATCTGGCGGAACATTTTTACTATATCAGCGCAGAATATATATTTTTGTATATGAAAGCAAAGGCAAACATCAAATAAATTTCGTTGTATACTTGCACCTGTATGCAATATACTGTTAAGTGAAACTCCGCTAGAATCTTAAAATGAGCCATCAAAAACAACGCGAAGTTTTGGTCCAATTACTGGATGATGCGGCATATAAAAACTGTGGCTATCACTGGCAACAACCTTATCAGACTTAAGTTCTCGCATGTGTCCCACGCGACTTTATTCAGGCATGAACTCAATATATTGCTTACGAAGGTAACTATCCCTCAGTAGGCGACGTTCAACAGCATTAAAGCTTAGTGTAGCCCCTTGAAGCGTGTTTCCGAATTGGATAACTTTTTCCCTGAATGGAAGCTCCACAATATATTTGCCGTCAGAGTGTCGTGCGTGCGTTTCTAAAAAATGAGTTTCTATGTGAACGTTTTCTGTGTCTAATGCAACCGATGCAAGGCTTCTTCGATTTCCCAAAATTTTCGAAGCGAGCGATCTATATCAATCGTAGTTACAAGAGACGATACTCATTATCCATGGATGCCTGAACTGATGTTACCATTCATCCGAATATTGTTGATACAGCAAGAGGATTACCAGAAGAGTCGAAAATTTTGTTAAAAGTAAATATTTTCCAAACTTGGTGAACACCAAGTAAAATATCAATCGGTGATGAAGAATTAAAAAATGAATCTGCAAGATTCAAGTCCTTCAGTTGCTCCATAGTAGGAGTATTGATTTGTGACGTAGAAATTGCTGATGTAATCTTGCTCAATACATGAACACTTACATCTAGTGAGTTCTGAGAAACCTTTGATTTCATATCGAGTGTACAACAGCCACGTGTAGTTTCGGCCTTAATAGAAGAAATTGCAAACACAGTAATACGGGAAGGTATACGAGGTAGACCAAGGGCCCGAGCACATCGCTCCGAAGTATAACTTAGTTCTGACTCACTATCAAGAAGGACACGGCATGTAACATATCTATTTTAAGTGTTGCGAACGTCAATAAGTGATGTTGGTAACAGGTATCTACTGCCTTGATGACAAGTTACAGTGGTTACTGTTGGCGAAGATTCCAGACAAGTAGTGGGATTCAAAATATCTAGACGAGAAATATTAGCAACAGTTGACCATGGCTTGCCAGAGGATATCGCAGCGGATGCTAATGTTGATGAAGCAATTGTTGTTGGCGAATCAACCTGCAACTTGTGTACAAGAGTGTGGTGGCGCTTATGGCATTCTCTACATTGGAATTTGGAACTACATGTGTATGATGAATGTCCCGATCTGAGACAATTGAAACTGTAATGACCTTTCTGGCCCTTTGCAAGGCCGAGGTATACTCAGGGTATACCAGGGTGTTAATGCAAGATTTCCAAAATTTGCTTAGGAAAAAAATTGTGTCAGATTTATTTGTGGAACACAACAATTTAGATTATACTCTTCACCTTATTTATGATTTGAAAGTCCTACAAGACTATGATAATAAAAAAAAATATTACAATTAATTCTATGTTCAGTATTTTTTCCCTTTATTTACAATTCAACAGAACAAAGCGAATTTGCTAAATAAAGAATAACATGATGAATAAAATAAACTATCATTTATATAAATTGTCGAAGTTAGGAGTAAATTACGATTTAAATACTTAATTTATAATTAGGAAAAATATTTTTTTCTCCATTTACTACTATAGAAAGATTTCATTAACAATGTACTATAGATTTTTTTTTTTATAAATTTCCTTCTGTAAATATTTAAATATCAAAAAAAACTAATATAAAAAAAAAGAAACACCGAGAAAAAAACAAGAGGTACTCACCGCAATTGTTGAGATGACGTCACCTCTCCTCTGCTGTACCTGTCTATGTTTGTAACAACAAAAAGAAAATATTCAACGTTAACTTTCCTATGATTTAAATATTTACAAAAGGAGCGGGGTAAAAAAAGATTTAACTACTATGTCCACTAATAATTAATAAGATAGATCATACAATTTACATAATATAAGCTTAATTATTACTTAATTATTATTATTATTAGCTTAATTATATCTTCAAAAAAAAATCCAATTAGACCTAGCTTGTCTAACATTTTATCTTCACATTTACTCTTCACATTTGATGTCTTATAGTCTTCACCACGTACGAGCGTGTTTTATAGTGCTCTTACAAAGTTTTACTAGTTAGCGGGTGTTTAGCGCGATAACTACATATATATATTGCATATATACGCAGTATATATGCAAAAACTATTGAAATAGTGAATAAATGTTCAAATCAATTGTTCGTATTTATATTGTGATAGCTTAAAGATTTTGGCGCTCTTGTAATAATTCGCCTTATTTTGGAACGTAAATTTAATTTAAATTAAACAAATCTGACAGAGACAGATAGTTACACTAGTGTCTGATTTTTCCATACACAAACACATAAAAGCTGATAGAGACAGCAAATAAAAGCTTCTAAACTTAAAATCA